CATAGTAGGAAAAAAAATACTATGGAAGTCATTGGGGCCCATAAACTGTTGAGTAAATGAAGAGAATTTTCATTTTTTCACATCTCTTTAACCCTGTAAAGCCTAACATCAAATAGTTGGAACAGTTTATTAAACCTTTAGACAAAATCATAAAAGTGTCATATTTTATACATCTGGGCCTGGGTTTTTCAAAATGTTTAATCTGGATAAAATTGGTTCGGATTTAGTAATCCTTTTTTTTTTTTTTTTTTTTTTTTTTTTTTTTTTTTTTTTTGCGATCCGTGATCACGTAATCCAGCTTACTTTTGAGCCAGTTTTTCAAAGCAACGTCGGATTGGATCAATCTGATCAGGATAGGAACCTTTCAGAATCACCAAATCTGGATAACCAGTGCTCAAACAGGATAGCAAATCACAATGTAGAACTGTAGATATGTAAAGAGCAACAAGTAGATAAAACAAGTAACAAACACTGTACATTGAGGATATTTATCTCATAAATATTTATCTCAGGTATATATATATATATATATATATATATAACGAGCAGACAGGACGTGGAACAAGGGACGCAATAGTTAGACTATTTCTGATTTGGATTTGTTTTGGATTTCAAAAATCAGTGATTGCCAATATTTGCACCTTTTTTGGTTATTCTGTAATCATTGCATGCATCACTTATAAATATTCTAAAATCAAAAATATTTTCGATTGTGAAGAATATATACTGTATATCAATTAGTGACAGAATAAAATGTATTGTTTTTGGTCAATTTTGACAGCTGTTTGGGGGATTATTTTATGAGGCCAAACTCTTTCTACTTTGCTGTAGGCTTATACTAAAAGGCTGAATACGTTAAAGCCTACCTTATCACTGTAGTCTGACGGATGAACAAATACAATTAAAACCTTATGAATAAATAGGATATCTTGTAGGATACTGCATGATCCAAATATAGTATTATTTGATACATTTTTTACATTTTCATTGAAGTTTAATCCAGATTTTTTTTGGATCAAAGTGATCCAAATCCTACAAAAAATGTTCTGGAAAAACCCAAACTAAAGGTTTGATCCGGATCAAAACCAAGATTGGATTACGTGATCTAATCCGATTATGTAATCCATTTTTTCTTTTGAAAAACCCATTTTCAAGATTCGTTATCCAAAATCCTGGTGCATTACTTTTGAAAAACCAGGCCCTGGCTATTTGGCTCATATCATACAGGTGAATATGGAGCTTTTACTTGGGTAAGAGAAAACACCTCTATTTCATTGAGGCCCAAACTGAGCAAAAATAAGCAATTTGGTGCAGTTGCTGATATTTCTATAGCCAAAAAGTAAGATGAAATTCTGATTGCTTATAATGTAAATCAATGAGATCTTTATAACAGTACAGCATTAGCAGAGTACTTAAACAATGCATATAAATACAATTTTTACTCTATTTCTCCCCATAATATGTCTTGTAAGATGATATTTAACTGCTTTAGTTTTTAGCTCTTTAGTTTTAACTATGGGGGTAAAACATATAATTCTATACAATACAACAATGATTGAAAAATGTTCAAATAAACATTCCTCAAAGGCCTGATGTATCATATTTGATACTCACATTGATTTTTCTAAATAATTATGTGTGGATAATCAAGTTGCTTCGGTCCAGTAAGTGTTTATCTTGAAATATTGCTAACAATATAAAAGCATTTACATTTAATTTATAATAAACAGTAAAGATTTCACGGCAAAGCAGCACAATTTAATGATGAATGTTTTTACAGTTATATTAAAAGGCCTTTTACTTGCTAAAAAAGTACAAACTGTCAATCTGATGACAGAAGGCATGAAGTAGATTTTGTACAACAGGTTTTTCAGCAATGTTTTGATCATTCGAAAGTAGCATATCTTAGGTTTTATAAGATGAATATCCCATTCAGCCATTTTTATTCCTATAATTTCCTGTCCTCTCACAGATCATGTTCATTAATGTTTCCAGGCCATCACAGTTTCGGAGGTTGCACCAGCTCAATCGGCGCAGACGCTGCCGCTGCGCAAACGTCCGGGCGTCCTTCACCTGCGCAGCTGTGGCGATCTCAGCTCCTTCACCTGCGCAGAGCTCACAGGCACCCGTTCTCGGACTAATTCCAGGATGAGTTCTCGGGCAGGATCCCGCCGCCTGGAACAGGAACGCCCACACAGCCTTATAGGAGTCTTCCGTGAAACTGTCCTCTGAGCGACGTCTCAAACTGACTGGATATGCACGGAAAGCGAGGAAAATGACTCTGTGCCAGTCGGCTGAAGGTATGGTGAACACCACAACGTGACGGAAGCTAAGCTTTGTAAAGAGTACAGAAGATTTCACTTCATTTTCTGTTTTTGTTTGTCAGTGTGTATACTGAATATTATTCATTTTTAATTTTACAGTTGGAAGTCCAGCTGTTGCTTGTTTTTATTTTTTCACATTATAATACTACACTGGGGGAAAAAACAATGTTTATTTACCAAATGTCCATCCTTCTTATTTAAAAATGATTTAAAAATACACTATGTGAAAAATACAATTAAGAGAAACATTCAAATAGTTTGGCTATATTTAGCTTATGTGATGTGGAGAATTACTAAATTAAATCAGCATATGGTGAGGTAGAGAATGAATTTGAAGCTTTTTTTACATTTTATTTTTATTTGACCATTCTGGACAGTATTATTATTTCGGTCATACTTTAGTTTAGGGTTCAGTTCTCACTGTTAACAATGACTTTTGCCTCAGTAACCTCCTAATTACTGCTTATTAATAGTAAGGAAATTGGGTAGGATTAAGGGGATAAGACATTAAAATGTGGTTTACAAGTACTAATAAACGGCCAATATCCTAGTAACATGCATGCTAATAAGCAAAAATAGTTAATAGAGAGAATTGGACCATAAACTAAAATGTAATGAGATGTCCTCAGATATGTATTGTGCACTATTACTGAATATGAAGGAGTCTCATCTGAATTGTATGGGTGAAACATGCTATCCAAACTCCTGAATTAAACGTTTAAAATCATCTGCCTTTTGTCTGGGTTGTTTATTCAATTGACATTACGAGAGTGTAGAATAAACTTTAGTTACACTTTATTTTAAGCTGACAGTTACATAATTGCTCAAATAAGTACTGAGTATTAATTAACTAAATGTACTTCCTATAGAGTTACGGTTAGGATTTGTTTTAGGGTTAGTTACTTGTCATTATGCATCATTTACTCTTATTACTAGGATATGTAGTAATGTGTAACTACATCACCTTAAAATAAAGGGTGACCTAAACTTCTCTAATTATACGCTGCCGTTTATAAGTTTTGGGTCAGTAAGATTTTTGGTTATGCTGTGTCAGTATTACAGTGTAATTATACTTTTAAAGGGATATTTCATTTTGAAATAAATATCAAAAATGTTTTAATTTACCTCAAGGGCATCCAAGATGTAGGTGTCTTTGTTTCCACAGTATTTTAAAATTTTTATATTTTTAGGTCAAACCGTTCCTGTCTGTCAGTCTTATAATGGAGGTTTATGGGGTCCACCTCAAAGAGCATGCACAGAGAAGTCCAAATTAAACATGATTTAATGAATCGTAAATGTAAGTACACATTGATGGCCTAAGACATGAAACGAGCGGTTTGTGTGAGAACAGTATTTATATCATTTTTACCTCTTGTAAGCACAGCCACGTCCTAGTGATCATGCACCGGAAGTGATCTCTTGCGCGGTTGTGGAATAAAAATCAACGTTGTTCCAACGTTCATCCATTGCAATTTCCTGTATATCTAAATATGTTTAGATCTTCACAATGAAGGATAACACTTCTGAAATCTCTGTATAAAAAATGAGTGACGTACACGCACGAGAGATCACTTCCGGCGCATGCACAGACCAAAGCGCCCGTGCCTTCAGATCACTTGGACGTGGCTGTGGTTACACGAGGTAAAAACGATATAAATACTGTTCGTTTTCTCACAAAAACCGCCCGTTTCGTGTCTTAGGCCATCAATGTGTACTTACATTTACGAGTCATTCAATCATGTTTAATTTGGACTTCTCTGTGCATGCTCTTTGAGGTGGACCCCCTAAACCTCGATAATATGACTGACAGACACGAACGGTTTGACCGAAAAATATCAAAATTGAAAATACTGTGGAAACAAAGACACCTACATCTTGGATGCCCTTGAGGTAAGCTAAAACATCAAATATCAAAAATTAATTTCAAAGTGAAGTATCCCTTTAAGTACTGAGTAATAATAATTTACTACATGTTCTGAATATACGGTTAGGATGAGGGTTTGGTTTAGGGTTAGTTTCATGTACTGTAATTATGCATAATTTATTTATTACTATAGTAACTACATGTAACGTGTAACGATGACACTAAAATAAAGTGTTACCAGATAAAAAAAGAGAAAAGAAATGAATAGTTTTACTCAGTAAGGATTCAGTAAATAGATCAAAAGTGAAAGAAATGTATAATGTTATAAGTTTTATATTTCAAATAAATGACATACTATTCATCAAATAATCCTACAAAATGTTAAGCAGCACAACTGTTTTAAATATTGATAATCATAAGAAATTCTTGAGCATCAAATCAGTGTATTATAATGAATTTTGTGACGCTGAAGACTGGAGTAACGATGCAGAAAATTCAGTTTTGCCTCCACAGAAATAAATAACATTTTCAAATATATTAAAAGAGAAAACACTTCTGTTAAACTGTAGTAATATTTCACAGTATTACTGTATTTTTTTATCAAATAAATGCAGCCTTGGTGAGCATAAGAACAGGAAACATGAAAAAAACTTACCGACCCCAAACTTTTGAACAGTAGTGTGTATATTTGAGCACATTACACAGCACACTCGGGGTAAATACACAACAGCTACCGTTCTGGATAATGACCAGGACCAGTAACTGAAAATCATGCTGACCGTGTGTGAGATGAAAGAGACATTCTAGTAATATACGCTCTCAGTAGTTGGTTTAATAGTGTAAATACTGTTACAAACATTCCTGCTATGGTAAAGGAATGTGTCTAAATAGTTCAATCACAGAGAAGCTAGCAAATAAATCAACTTTGCTATTGCTTTACAGAAAGTGTGTTTTTACTTTTAGACAGTGACAAACATATAATTGTAATTACATTCAGAGCAAGTGCATTATAAATACTAATCAAACCCACAGTTTCTTTTCTACTCCAGCACGAATCACACACTCTGCTGAGGCCTTGCAATCTACAGTCTTGAGGTGAGAATCCGTCCAATACTCTGCAAATCCAGGGTTACATATCATGTACACTGATATTTCATACCTGGTGTCATTAATAACACATTAAGCTACTTGTTTTGCTTCTCCATTATTAAATAATTAAATCCATCCCTCATTAAAGCTTGTACATTATTCTGAGGTGGACGCAGAATGTCTTGTACTGTTATAGTGCAGAAGTCTGGGACACTAGGATGATGCGTTAATAGTACAGCTCAAAAAACATAACCGTCACTGTTTCATTTCGGTGTAAAACTGGACAACATCTCATACAATGAATATGGGAAGATGCCATGGTGGTAGCAGACCAATTACATTATAATGGCAACTGTTAGTGTTATTCAGCCTGCGGATTTCAGTCATGACGTGATGATGCCCCTTAAAAATAACACATTACATAGTAGAACACTGGTGTCAAAGACTTTTGCAGTTTCCTTTTTTATCATTGTACACATGGTATATATTCATTGGATATACTGTATATATCATGTAAATAAATATAATATTATATATACTGTATATATGAAAGTGTCTAGCTGGTTTTATTTGATGATGAAGTCATTTGTAATCACACACATCACACTCACTACAAGAATAAATAGCAATGCATACAAAAAGATCATGCTACACACACACCAAAAAACAATAAAACATGAGGCCCTTCCTCTGTGTTAATGACTTGATTCAATTAGTAAAATAATACAGTGCTAATGAGGTCATATTGTGGGGTGAAATTCACATTGTAAGCAACGAGAAGTGTATTTTCTTATCAGCGCCACAATTACAGGGAGCTTGGTAACGTCTGAAAGAGTTTCTAGTATCAATACAGATTCAACTGCAGAAATGTCATCAGATTGTGATACATTGCTGTAACAATCATTTGATGGTAAAAGATACCTTTGCAAATGTGCGAGCGAGTGTGTTCTCAAAAGAATTCCAGGCAAGTACACTTAATGGTAAAATATGGGGAGAGTGGTTAGAGTGGAGAGAAGACATTTTCTGATTGTTTTTTCTTCAGATGCAAAATCACATATAGTGATATTTGCCAGACTTCAGAAATAATGGAGATGTGCCAAAGCATGCTGAGGTTCTTGCACAGATGGTACTATAATGTTTGGGTAAATCTCTGGAAATTCAGTCAGTTTTCAATCGGTTCACATTGAGATGCTCTATATTAAAACTGTATACTGGATACTTGCAAATCCAGCTCAAATGTACCAGATTGAAGCTTTCTGAGAGTGAATACAGTTCTGTTAAGACACATGCTGTTCTTGAGTGAAAAAAAGTGAAAAAGTAGCACACATTAATTAAACATTTAGTTCATTAAAAAAGGCCGTAATGACAAAAAATCCATCCTGAAAATGTCAACACAAACTTGTTTTTCCAAGTATAAATGTTTAAAAGAAAATGCTACTAATATGGGCATATTTAATTTGCAATATTATTTCATTGACAGACGCTTAAGACAAAAAGGAAGGTTTTCTGTGCATAAAAATAAGGAATGTTTTCATTTACAACAACAACAACAAAATATTGCACATCAATTAAAAAAAAAACAGTAAAACACAATGGTTAATTTTTAGGACACTTTCCCCTGACTGTAATATATGTGTGTTTATTTAAAGAGGTTGTCCAAAACGTGTCCCATTCAAACATCAACTATTCTCAAGTCTCCATAGCCTATATATATTTCCAAAACACTTTCTTTTAAAATATGGCATCATCATTCTGTAAGGCATTTCATCCACAATTTCTATGTGCTCTACTATATATATATATACTCTAAGTGTACTAGACATTCCTATGAAGCAAAAAGCTCATCGTCATTTTGATAGGAACTGTTTAAAAAAACCTTTTCGCAGGACTCAATGGTTTGGTCCATTTCTAAGCAAACAGGATGCAGATTTGAATTTAAGCTAAAGTTAAAGAAATGTAAGTGTATTTTGTGTTTCGGTATCAATTACCTATAAATATGATCAAAGATGCAACATATGAGCTATTTTTAGAAGCATTAAATAAAATTAGCAATGTTTGGAAAGTATATTTAATACATTGCATCAAATAAATTCAATTTCATTTTATGGACCATAATTGGAAAACTCAATTCTCAGAATGCTCTAGTTTACTTATAGTGTCCAGTCAAAAGATGTCACTTTAAAAAAAAAAAAAAATTTTTTTGTCAAAGTACATTTTGTGGTTAGGGTTTGAATTGAACTAAATAAAAATGTTGGTGGCTGTATTAATTGAAAATGTAATCAGTTAAGAAAAGTTATTTTATGAGTTTAATACCTGCTTAATGTCTTTGAAATTGCAATTCAGTAAATGTATTTTCCTGTCGTTCAAATTCAAATTCAACATCCTGTAAGTTAAGTTGTGACCAATTCAATTCAAACTCCATTTCATGTATTAAAGTTACAGTTTGCTATTTTCACCATATTCCTCCGACATTCCTCAAAGTTGAATCTAAAACGCTTGATGACTGCCAAGCTCAAATAAATAACAGCAAAAAAGAATGGTAAGGCAAACTCCTTTTTGTACACCTAACGCTCACATCACACAGGAGTCGGTATCTGGTTTCAATAGGACGCCATTTTCTATGATGGGGCTCTTTAAATATTTCTCACACTCTCTCTCTGCTTCGTTTCAGTGCACACAGAGAGGAACAACACAGCACAGCAATCTCACTCACAGCAACAGAAAAGGACAGATGAAGAGCTCAGGGGAGGCAGTGAAGTCATGGAGAGCCATGTTGAGCAGAGCTTCAGTGGATTCAATCACACAGTCACCAGTCCACAGGCCTGACACTTTCACATCAAGATTAAGGTTATATCTGGTGACAACGGGGCAGGAGGCTTGAGAAAGCGTCGTAGCTTTAGATGTAAACTGGTTGCTCCTGGGCTGTTAACAAGCGGTACATGGCGGCCGGCATAGTCTTCATGTGAATCTGTTCAGAGAGGGGTGAAACGTGAGAGTCGGGTTCAAGTGACTGCAAAAACCATTTAGACACTCAAGACAAATGTCAAAATATATAAGTGTGAACTAGTGGTGGGCGATTTATTTAACAATATGAGAACTTACACGAGGATACTTGTGAAATGGGCATTTTGAAAATATTGCATGCATGTGCTCATTAAGGACAAATAGAAGAGAAAGAAAATGGAATTCAGTGTTTCTGTTGATCTTAAAGGACAACTCCGGCGCAAAATGAACCTTTGGTCTAATTACACATTGAGATTATCTGAGATTTGTTTTCATGATTGCCGAATGTAAATAGTTTTATCTCTAAAAACAGTTTAGCCTATAACGCTAGTATATGGGGCATAGAGTAATGACAAATAAAAATCGCGTGTTATTACCTCTAACAAGGTTCAAAATAGCCCCACACTAACACGACAGCATAATAAGTGTCCCTACATTCAAACCGAAGCATTGAGAACTTTGTCAGTGTCCATACAGTTTAATAAGAAGATATTTTATACACACAGTCAACTTCGCGAATACAGGAAGAAGCCATCTTTGAAAAATAGTCTCTACCAGTCGATCTACGAACACCGATCCATGTGCGCTGGTGAGATGTGAATAAGGTGATAAGGTGAGCGCGAACAGTACTATGTGTACATATTGAAGAGAAGAAAACGGTTCGTGTTTGTTTTTCTTCTGAAAACAACGGACCATATGAGATTCTGCACAGTTCATCGCACTTGGATCGGCGTTCGTAGATCGACTGGTAGAGACTATTTTTTAAAGATGGCTTCTTCCTGTATTCGCGAAGTTGAGCCTTGTTAGTGGTAATAACAAGCGATTTTTATTTGTCATTACTCTATGCCCCATATACTAGCGTTATACTAGCGGTATAGGCTAAACTGTTTTTAGAGATAAAACTATTTATATTCGGCAATCATGAAAACAAATCTCAGATAACGGTTGACTAGGTAGCAATGTGTAATTAGACCAAAGGTTCATTTTGCGCCGGAGTTGTCCTTTAACTTGTACTGAACCTGGGACATTCCTTTAAAGGGACGATGTGTACTTTTTTAGATATTTTATTTAAAATCAATATTTGTGTTCATAAATATGTCCTCAATGGTGTACAAATACCTCTGCCAATTATCTGACTTATCCTCGTAAACAAAGAATTTTATTATCTTTATATACTTGTACATGGGATGGGTAGATCCATGGAGGCTTCCAAGTAGTTCTGCCATCTTGAAAAATTATTATGGCACAGAGGGACAAAAAGTACTTGGCCAATGCGTTTTCATTCAGAGCCAGCGTCGCGAAACGGAGGAGCAGAGCAGTGAGAGCCACTTGTCATTGCCCCGGCAAGTTAAAAAAGTTATTTTTGCCGAACCACAGAAGAAAACATCCTCGTTGCCCAAAAAGTACGACCGGATAGGGTCAAAATAGAACGTAAAACGAAACGTGACCGGAGATTACAAAAAAAAAACAAAAAAAAAAAACAGTTAATGTCAGGATAGCATTTTCCAGGTGGAAAGAGATGCTGTAGTCCTGGTTTCTTCTCGACAGGTTAGTCAATGTTACACTCTTGTTTACAAGCTTTTTTTCATTGTTTGGTTGTGTACTTTATTATATATAGACAGTAGAACATTTATAGTTAAAGTTAAACAGGCTCTTTGATGAGTAAATTTGAGAAGACGCTAAAAACAAGGTTTGCAAGTTTACTTTTTGTAACCTAGAAATTCGATAAGAATAATGTTCTTGCAACTTGTTCACCCCAAGGAAAAACTTGACAAAGTGCGACATTAGAAGACATCCTGTCATATTAGAAGACATCCTGTCATAGCTTTTTGGTACATAATGGCTACCATAGATGCAACACACCTTTGAAAAAGTAAGGCACTGGAGAGCACAATTAGTTTGAACGCAAAAAAACAATTTCACCACTAGATGGGAGAAATTCCTACACAATGTCCCTTTAAGGGGCTTTTTATTCATTCTGGACGTTCATTTACATGACATCTGCCGTTTGGGGGACTAAAAACGCAAACTTTTGAACAGAGTATTTCAAAACCAAATATGCGAATTTGTGAAAATGGTGATGTCATGCACATGAGTTTTATGTGTTCAGTCTATAGGCACGTAGTGTTTCTTTACAAAGTGACATTGTGTGATGGAAAATTTAAACTGAATATTAAGCTAAACACGTTTTAACATTTGACCTCATTTAACCTGCTAAATCTCTGAGACAATGTACTAAGACATTCTGTACTTAAGATGTGTGTCAAATGCCTGACTGTATGTATAAATAACAAATATGGGAAATGGAACTAGACAGATGACTAAGTTAGAACTTGTCATCAATGAAGTAATCATTAAAACAAAGTTAGCACCCGGCGGACGTCGACTGTAGATGTGCTAGGGTTAAAGGATTAGTACTCGGCGGATGTCGACTGGAGATGCGCTAGGGTTATAAGATTAGTACCTGGTGGACGTCAACTGGAGATGTGCTAGGGTTATAAGGATTAGTACTCGGCGGATGTCGACTGGAGATGCCCTAGGGTTATAGGAATAGTACCCGGTGGATGTCGACTGTAGATGTGCTAGGGTTAAAGGATTAGTACTCGGCGGATGTCGACTGGAGATGCCCTAGGGTTATAGGATTAGTACCCGGTGGATGTCGACTGTAGATGTGCTAGGGTTATAAGGTTTAGTACCTGGTGGACGTCGACTGTAGATGTGCTAGGGTTAAAGGATTAGTACCCGGCGGATGTCGACTGGAGATGCGCTAGGGTTATAGGATTAGTACCTGGCGGACGTTGACTGTAGATGCGCTAGGGTTATAAGGATTAGTACCTGGTGGACGTCGACTGTAGATGTGTCACGGTTCATGAATCCACTGTCTCATTCTGATGTTTGTGTGTGTGTGTATGTGTGGGCGTGGTTACTAATTCCATTGATTGTCAGCACCAGCTGCGATTCATCACCGCTTCCTATATAATGTCAGTAATTTCAGTCTCATGTTGTCAGATCGTTGTGGCTTCCCCGGTGTTGTGTCCTGTTCCTGTGTGGCTTCAGTCTTCTCCTCGTGTGGATTTCCTGTCTCCGTGATCGTCGTCGTCTTTACGTCTTCACGGTTGGATTGTTTATTGTTCCTGGTTCCTGTCACTGAGCACGCCGATCATCATCACATCTCTCCGGGTTGCCCATCAACGTCCCTGTGTCTCACCTCCACCTGAGTGTTTGTTCCCCGATCTGTGTGTCACCTGACCAACTTGAATAAACAGTTTTACTTGCTATTGTTTCCTACTGTTTCATAACAGAACGATCTGACCAATCATGGAAGCAGCAGGTTCGAAGCTGAATGATTTCATCGCACACAGCATCTCTAGAATGGATCATCAAGGAGAAGAGATTGCGAACACAGGTCGTGCGGTTCAGGCACTCGTGACACAGGTGTCCGAGCTCACCCAGCAGCTTCAACTTCTACGCGGTCCCACTGCGCCGCCCACACCGCCCGTTCAACCCCCACCGGTACCGCATGAGAGTCAACCGGAGCCCCGTCTTCCCACGCCTGAGGGCTATTCTGGTGAGCCTGAATATTGCAGAGCTTTTCTCACGAGATGTTCCATGCACTTTGCTTTGCAGCCACGGACATTTCAGAATGAACAGTCTAAAGTAGCGTTTGTGTTGACTCTCCTATCGGGGAAGGCGGCACTCTGGGAACGGCGGTGTGGGAGAACCAGGACAGTTGTTGCGACTCGTTCCAGGCACTCTCCGAGGAGATAAAGAGAGTATTCGATCGTGCGGTGGCGGGTAAGGAGGCAGCCAGATTACTCGCGGATCTACGCCAAGGGGATGGCTCGGTGTCGGATTACTCTATTCGTTTTCGCACCCTGGCTGCAGAGTGCAAATGGAACGAGGAGGCGCAGTGGGACATGTTCCTGCATGGGCTGGCTGACCGCGTTCAAAGAGAAATATATATCTTGGACCTTCCTAAGACTTTTAATGGTCTGGTGGAATTGGCGATGAAGGTCGACTCACGCTTAAATCGCGTGAATTCTCGTGCACGCTCTAATCGACCACAACAGTACTTTGAAGAACCACGAGGTGGCGACGGGAGCGCGGTCAGCCCAGTTTTCGACCACGAGCCCATGCAGATTGGAAGAGCTCGGCTTTCCCGGGAGGAGAGAGAAAGGCGGAGGTCCCAGGGACTCTGCCTGTACTGTGGTAAGGCTGGCCATTTCCTCCACTCTTGTCCAGTAAAAGAGCAAGCCCGATAGTAAGTATGAGGCTACTATCGGGTGGGATCTCCGTCGAGAAGACCTCATCTACATCATCAACCCTCCTCCCGGTAAGACTGAGATGGGCAACATCCACGCACCCCACTCAAGCACTTCTGGATTCGGGAGCAGAGGGTAATTTCATGGACTACAGTCTTGCAGTTAAACTTCAGATTCCCATCACTGCCCTTAAACATGCTATTTCTGTCAACGCACTCAACGGACAAGAACTTCCCAGGATTTCTCACTCTACTGAACACATCACACTCGTCACATCTGGCAATCATACTGAAAGGATTTCGTTTCTACTCATGGACTCACCTCTGACACCGGTGGTTTTAGGGCACCCATGGCTCTCTAAACACAACCCCCGTATCGACTGGCACAACAATTCCATTTCCTCCTGGAGTAACCACTGTCATGAGTCATGTTTGTTGTCTGCCTGTTCGTCTGTGTCCGATTCTTTGTTTCAGAACGAGGCAATGGATTTATCTAACGTGCCCGCAGAGTACCTAGACCTGAAGGAGGTGTTCAGTAAGTCACGAGCTGCTTCTCTTCCTCCGCATCGTCCCTATGACTGTGCTATAGATTTACTGCCAGGTAAGTCTCCGTCTAAGGGCAAACTTTACTCTCTTTCCATTCCTGAGAGGGAGGCTATGGAGAAATATATTTCTGATTCTCTCGCCTCTGGGTTCATTCAACC